GTACACAGAAAAGAGAGAAGTAGTAAAAAGCTGATTGCAAGAGTAAGAAGGTATGACCATAAATACACTTGGAGCCTTTTCAAAAGCTCAGCTATGGTTATGTTTTAATTGTCACCTGGGGACCAGCCAGGAATGACAGAAATGTAGGAAAACCACTTCAGCTTCAGGACTGTTTCATCCAGGGTACTGTTGGAGTGGTTTTGCTACATTTGGTTCATAACTGGCTTGTCCACACCTGATAATTAGATTGTAAGTGCTGCTGACCTTTTGAAGTGTTCTGCTTTGTCCATATCCAGAGATGCCATGATCTGGAGGAGAAGCCATAAGACAGAGGAGGGTGAACCTGGAGGACTCTGACCTAATCCCAAGAATGCTCTGAAGTGATAAGGAAACACACACAGGTTCCCTGCTTGAGTAGGGATTTATTTTGCCTTGATATGTGCGGAGGTAAAGAGTGCTAGGCTCTAGGCTTTCCAGAGCCTTTACAAAGTCTGTGTGTCTGTTTACATCAGCTAGTGTCCCTGGAGTGCCCGCAAATAGAGCCTTGGAAAAAGATGTGCTTCACTAGACCTTGGTGTTCAGTACTTATCCAAGAGGCCTAGGAGAGCTGTGTCATAAGGTCCTACTTCCATCAAGGAGTAGTAGCTGAAGAGTGTTCATCAAGGAAATGCATGTTAAGTAGTGACTAGTTTCTTCTGAGACACTAGGAAGCTAAAAGCATGTGGGCCCAGTGTGGTAGGACCAAACACGCCAGCCTGGTACATATTCAGTAGGCCAATTTAATTAAGGTATGGTGGCATGCCCAAGTGCAAGTAACTGGATGTTATGATAGAGCTCTTGTACAGAGTAAAATAAACCACTGCCTCCATTGAAGGCATGCTGCAGCATTTATTTATTTTTTTTGTACATAAGCATGTGACATGACATCAGCCTTTCCATTCTGCTTCTCGAAATAAGGCAAATTGAGAAATCCCCTAGCTTGTCTTTGAAACAAAGTATTACCATGTGTTTTGAGACTTCTCATGTTTGCAGGGAGGTGTCACATTGTTGTTCTGCCAGTTTCTGATTATGTATCAAACGGTCACATCATGGGGCCATGCTGATATACGATGTCTTTGGACCTGGTAAAAGATTTTTGTGCCTACCTACTCATATGCAAGGGAATGCAGAATCACATAAAATAGAGAAAAATCCTTGAAAATAAATAACCTCAAACAAAGAATATTCCTAGCGAAATCTTTCCCAACATTCATTTAATCAGAAGTTAGCCAGAAACTGGTAGAGAGACTTTGGGGCATCTTCATGCACAGACTGCCAGAAGTAGCCAGGCAAGGAAAAAGGCAGTTTAGCTTCCAGATCCACTATGGCCTTGAGCTCTTGGAGGTCTCCAGTAAGAGTCACTATTTGACTGATTCTTACTGAGTTGTATGTGTTTGCTCCCAAGGGCTAGGTACAGACATTCAGAAAACCTGAAGCAGAATTGATCTAAGTTATACGGTTTTCTGTAAGCAGCGCAGTTTAGATCGGTAGTGACTACAATGCACATCCACCATTTGTTGGGGGGAGTGGGCAAGGGTGGTAAATCTTAGACCAGGTTCTGCCATTGTTAAATCAGCCTCCGTGTGCTGAACTTCTGTTCTGTTACAAGTATAGACCAATTTTATGTGCTGAACTTCTGTTGTGAGTATAGACTGGCTTCTGATCACTTATACCAGTAAAAGTGTAATGTCCATACCTGGTCAAAGAGTTGGGAGTAAAAGCTTATGTATGCTGTAAGTTTGTAGCATGGTTGAATTAATACATGCTTCACTTCCAAAGGCAGAAACGATTCTGATTATAGTTGTAATGGTGTAACAGTCCTGTTGTTGAGTGGGTCTGGTGTACGATTGTCAAGGTAGGGGCCCTCTACACATGCAAGTAAAGGTGTGATGGGATCTAATGCATAGGGACCTACCCAAATCAAGGTGGCACAGATTTCATGGAGACTGTGAAATCAGATCTCTGTGAAATCCAGGGTGGAAAAAGAACTTAATTTTAGTAAGTGCTGGCTTCCCAGTGGGAGTCGGCAGTCCTTCTGGCCATGTAGCCCACTCAGGGGAAGGGCACAGAGAGGCCACCAGAATGGTGAGCAGGCAAGGTGGCTACTTCCCTTCGCCATTGATTGTCTGAGAGGGCTAGCTGTCATGCAGCCCTGATCTTCCACCAATCAGTGGTGAGGGATGTGGCCACACAACAGACAGCCTTCACCAATCAGTGACAGAGGGTGGAGCCACCAGCCCCCCCGCCCTCTCCCCCAGCCAATTGGAGGCATGGGGGTGGGGAGCAGCTGCTATAATCCTTTGAAAATGGCAGCTGGCCCCATAATCTGCCTGTGATATTGGCTGGCTGCCTCCTCAAGTTTGGTAGAGCCCTACTTAGGTGTGATCCATACAATTGCACCTCCTGCCATGCCATATGTGCATGGCAGGAAGCGTGATTGTGGGATCTTGCATTAGATCCCATTGTGCCTTATTGCCAGTGCAGAAGGAGCCCAATCCCAGGCTGCTGCCTGAAGATTTTCTGTAAGTAAAAACCTGGAAACTAGCCAGGAGTTAGGAATTATGTTTAGGCCAGTCGCGTCTTAAAAGGATCATTGAGTTCAAGACTGTGCAAGGCTCACGTGCTTATGTTTGCTCAAAGTGTGTCGGGTTACAGCTTGCCTTGCTGTGTTACTGTGGTGGGAGAGAGAGAGAAGAGGCTTTCCGCCTCTGCTTAGCCAGTGAAGTTTGTCTTTTTATTTTCCCTCAGTTCTACCTGATGCTATCTGGGGATGCTTCAGGCTGAAAGAAGCACCCAGAAATATTACCATGGACAAATTACCCCCAAGGTTCACAGGGTTTGTGTGCCCCGGGCTGCATAGAGCCCTATCAGAGACCAGTGCCTGGGTGGAAGCAGCATTACCCTAGGCTTACAGGTGTTCTCCAGGAAACAAGACAGCCAACTGTAGTCTCCCCAGGGGAGACTCCTGAAGCATGGTTTTGGGCCTGGCATAGTGAGGCAGGTGGCTCTGCATAGTAGTGCCTCCTACTGTGTATGTCACAGTACACACCTGTACTTGGGACTCCCAGCTGCAGGGAAGACCCTGCTACACGCAAATTAAAGCTCAGTAGCAACCAGGTGTAAAGTTAGTACACATTTTCAAGTCTAACTTTAGCTGGTTGGAGCTTTTTATTGTGTGATAAGTACTTTGCATGTGTAGCTGATCTCCGAGTAATTGCACAATACCTTTAGCATGTAGAACGGGGCCTAGAACCACAGAGTGAGGCCACTAACTGAATCTAAATTGGTCAGCTCTTTTGTTCCCTATGGGACAGGACTGAACAGATTGGGATTGGGTAATGTTGCTAGGTCAGCATGGGTTAGCAACATTTAGCCAATGCTGGTGTGCTTGTTGCCAAGCATCTGAAGAATAATAGTGCAATGCTAGAACTTGGTAAAATAGTGTAGGGTAGGGGAAGGAGAATAATTTGTTAGGCTCCGTATTGTTGGTGTATTCCAGATTAGTACAGAAATCCCAGGACTTTTGTATGTACATGGGATTGAGAATAAAGTTGACAATTGCCCAGAATCCTGTGGTCAGTACTACTGAGGCATCTGGGATAGCTGACCAGATAGTCCTAGAATGCACTGCTGCAAACACTGAGCGCCTATACACATGCAGCAAGGCTACTTCGGTGCTCTGTAATTAATCAAGTCTGCTGGAGCATGGTAACTACCATTTCATGTATTAGCCACCCCACGCTTAAAAATGGCAATGGAAGCACTTTTTAAAGTTAAAGCACCTCTGCTCCAATTTTCAGTGTGGGAATGCTGATACATGAGATGCTCCAGCTCTTGGAGCTGCTCTAATTAAAGTGCCCCCTACCTCCCCACCCCTCATGGAGCATGTGTATAAATGCCCACTGTGAGCACTTTGGTAGTGTGGAAGGGCGAGCACAACTGAAGCATGAATGTACCTAAAACGTCTAGTTGAATATACTGGACTACATCACTCTAGAGATATCTGGTTCACTGGTATCCATTTCTGTCACTGTTGGAGACCAGAATCTTGGGCTAGATGAACCATTGATCTGACCCATTATGTTCTTATAGTTAATTTACATTTTTATATTATTAATTGAAACCTTGTCTCTTGGATACATCAAAGTCCAGATATATGGGACATGTTCCTATCTGTACTGTAAACGAGCCTCAAGGCCAGGTGTATGATATAGACTTCCGCCATGTTGATCAGGGGTGTGAAGAGACATGTTTCCTGACATCTTTGCTGGCAGCAGCTGCTGGCGTAGATATATTATACTGGCAATATATTATGTCCACAGTAGGCATACTTTCCAGGTATAGTGTATATTGATGTAACTATACCTCTACAGGACTGGGTAATTAGATTTGGTCTGATCATTTGACATGTTGCCAAATATATCGTTGAATATTGTAAAATAACCTTGAGGTAGATAGGGTTGTAGAAGCAAAAAAGGTCCTTTGCCATGAGTGTTTTCCATTTGGGGTACTTTTTTACTCTATACCAGAAGAAGAATTCTTTTTATTACTTTTTGCCTGTATAAGCACCATTCCCATTCAATATTCCTATTGAGTCTATCTCCCACTTCACAATTTGTGATGTTTAAAATACCCACTCCTGCTGTATATAAGTGTGTTAGGGCAAATTATATGAATTCCTAGGTAGTTAACATAATTTCAGAAACAAGGAACTGGTCACAAAGCAGTGGGAGCTATCATTTTGTAACGATATTACTATAAAGTTTCACCAGATCTCAGAGTTTTAATGACCAGTGGCTGTAACAAATTCTAATAAATTTTGAAAATGTGGTGTTACCCCTGAGCAGGACAGGGCAGATGCAGTGCTGAATTCATTTTGGTTCTGTTTTTGTTGCAATGGTTGTACTAGGAGAAGTTTTTTAAGACTTGCATTGACTTTGTAATTGTTTTCTTTGTTATAGACCAATACAATTAAATGGGTCCAGTAACTGGAATGACTCCAGATAAGAAAGCTGAAACACCAGGAGCAGGAAAAGCTGCAGGATTAAGGCAGATTTACAGAATGGGAAGCTTGCCTGAAGCAGTTGATGCTGCTCCACCAAAAGCCACTTTAGTGGACAGCGAATCAGCAGATGATGAGCTCACAAACTTGAACTGGCTGCATGAAAGTACTAATCTTCTAACAAACTTCAGCCTTGGAAGCGAGGGTCTTCCAATGGTTAGCCCTTTGTATGACATTGAGGGTGATAATGTGCCATCTTTTTCACCATCTTGCTACCAGAACATGGAAAAAAAATCAGCCACTTCCAAACCCCCTTATTCCTTTAGTCTTCTCATTTACATGGCTATTGAACATTCTCCTAATAAAAGCTTGCCAGTCAAAGAAATCTACAGTTGGATTCTGGAACGCTTCCCTTATTTTGCTACAGCACCTACGGGGTGGAAGAACTCAGTCCGACACAATCTTTCTCTGAACAAATGTTTCCGGAAGGTGGAGAGAAGCCATGGCAAGGTGAGATTCTTTTGGTGGTGGGAAATGTTTAACAAATATAAACTGCTTTGTCAGTTGGTTTTTATTTAAGTAAGTTCTTTTTAATGCACAGTACTACACAGATATTTTCATTTGTTGGAATCCTAGACCTAACAGCATTTTCTTGGCAACGAAAGATGGTTGCTTTGCAACAGAAGGTAGCTTGAAATGCCACTTCTGATAGGTGCTGGTGGGTTTTATTTCATATTATATTTGTATTTAGCATTATTATAAGTAGAGTTGGCAGTGGCACATGGTTTGTATGCACAAGGTCTATAGGAATTTGTGTAGCTCAGTTCTGTCAAGATGGCATCCTGCAACCCGGGGTATAGGCGCCTGTTCCCTCCCACGCTCTCTCTTCCACTCTGTCTCATGCAAGTACCATGGAGGAAACTGATCAACCCACCTGACTGATACACAAGAGGAAGGAACAGAAGGAGAAACTGAGGTAGGCTTGGGAGGGGAAAGAGGGATGCTAGAAGTAAATTAATTTAGAGGCTGGTGGGACAAAAGCCAGGTGAGTGTAAAAGCAGAAATAGAAAAATACAAGTAGAAAGAGTCTATAAGCAGATCTGTCTCCAGAACCTGGAATACAGTCTAAGGCCCCCCCTGCTAGATGTTCAGGTAAAGGCATGATAGGATCTGATATTCAATACAGTTGTGTCTCCTGCCATGCCAAATGTGTGTGACAGGAGCTGTGTTTGTGGGATCCAGCATCAGAACCCATCACTCCTTATTGTCCATGCAGGTGGAGCCCCCACCGCACCAGCAATTGGCATGCTTCCATGGCTCGGAGGCTGCTGCTGACCGGGCTTCCAGCTGCAGGGGCACACCATGTGCCCCCAAGACTGGGAGCCCATTCAGCTGAGGATCATGGCTCATACCTACCATGCCATTAATTGAACATGGGGCCAGGTGTTCCCCTGTAGCTGGGAGCCCTGTCAGCTGATGGGGCTGTCAGCTATAGGGATTCAACCTGTTTTTCTGTGACTGGGAGCTCCATCAGCTGATGGGGCTCCCAGCTGCCAGGGTGCTTGAGCGCATAGCTAATCTGGGCTCAGAACCAAGGGGTGTACCATGTGCCTCCATAGCTGAAAGCTGCAGCTGACTATGCTCACAGCTACAGAAGCACATGGTACACCCTTGCAGCTGGGAGCCCCATCAGCTGACAGAGCTCCTAGCCACAGGGGAGCACATGGCCACATGATTAATGGCGTGATAGGAAGGAGCCACAAAGTTATTCCACACTTTGTGGAATAACTGTGTGCCTTATTTCTCTTTTATCATGCCATTGATTGATTGAACACATGTCTGGGTCACACTTAAACAGTTAATCGCATCTTAAGTTGTAGTGTGTGTGGCAGGGCCTAAGATTTCTTAGTTTTAATGTTTTTCTTCTTCTAGTCAGGCCTAACTGTCCTCTCTTGCTTTAAATTATTCTGTTTGACCTATAGTCTGGATTAGATTTAAAAAGTGAACCCTGGTAATTACTTCAGTTGGGCATCATTGTGGTGTCATGAGCTGAGATTTCTAGGTCTCTCTCCTTGTTTACTCAATTTTTTATCCAGTGTGACATTCAGAAGCTTTTAACTTTGAGGCCTCATCCTTTGTGTTTCTGTATATCCCCTCTCATTTGCTACATGCCTTCCAGTTTCTGCAACAGAATGTGGCAGGGGAGCTACTAACAGTCTTAGGCTAGGTATAGACATCACATTTCACAGTTTTAGCAGTATAAGTGATCATAATCAGTGATCAGAACCAGTCTGAACCCATAACAGAACAGAAGTTTGCCATACATAGACTGCCTTAATAATGGCAGAACCCGGTGTAAGATAGACAGCCAGCGTGCACTCCCCTCCTCCCCCCCACCCCCAGCAAAAGGTGAATGTGTGTTATGTTTGCTACCAATCCAAACAACAGTGCTTACAGAAAACCGTACAACTTAGCTTGAATCCCACTTCATACTTTTTGAATGTCTGTACCTAGCCTTAGTGACTCTGCAACTTTGATTCATTCTCTCATGTATTGTCCTATGCCTTGAATGAATCGGAGGATTCTGTGGGAAAACTAGGTCAAACTAAGATTGCTCGGGCCAGCTTCTGGTATTTCCTAGTACTGTTTGACTTAACCCCTTGACTTTTTTTTTTCCTTTTCAGTATGCATGTGTATATGCACATGTGCGCTTTTGGGTGGAGTTGTTTG